GCGGCGGGGCACACGCCCAGGCCGCAGGCTTGCTCCCCAATGTGGGGCGTGCAGGAGGCAGGGGATGGGTGATTCTCTCTCATCACTGACATTCCTATCCTCCCTCCCTCTCCCTTCCTCTCTAAAAATCAATTTTAAAAAAACATTAGAAAACAAAGAAACCCAGCACCAAATTAAGAGAACCCCAGCCCTCTTTCCAAAGGCCAGAAGCCACGTCTTGATGGCCCGAGACAGACACACCCTGGCTTCCTGGGAATTTATCTTCGTTGCACAAATAAGATGAGAGCAGCCTCTTCATCAAACTCAAAATGACGCCCGTCCCTGAGACAGGCCGCGCTGCTCGCCTGGGAGCTGGGAGCGGCGCTTTCTCCGTCTCCTTCACACACACAAGGAGCCAGCGGTAAGGGCACCGGCACGGGCGGGTGCGGACTGCTCCCCCGTGAGCGGGAGGGTGGGGGTGTCATGGGGCCCAGCCTCGGTGTGCTGATAAGACAATCTCCGTCCTGACAAAGGGAAAACTCTAAACTGACGTTTTCCATCATTTCACCGGCTTCTCATTACTCGCTGTGAGACTGTCATCACTTCACGCGCTGGGAGCAGCTGCGCCCCTCACGCCTGTCAGCCCCTCGGGGCGACTTCCCCGGCTTTCATTCCGGGGACTCGAGGGCCTGGTAACCAAGGACATGTCCTATTTCCCAAGGGCACGCTGAAGATCCAGCCGCGGCAAAGGGGAAATACCACCATCTCCTCATGCAGGTTCGCAGCGTTTAATGCTGACACTGGGCAAGCAAACGCAGCAGGCCCCATGCAGCCCACTCCATCGCGAGGTCGAGGGCACCTCCCCCCATAGGTCAAGAGCGGGCTTCTTGCCATGCGAGGCTGCGCCTCCTGCATCTCCTGTCCTTCTCCGCGTCCCCCCTCCCGCCCCATGTCCGGGGTCCGGAAGTCTACACGTTCAGCGTAATTCCTGGCTCTCCCAGGGGTCCCGGGTCCCCCACCAGAGTCAGGAAATACGCCCAGAACTGGGAGGAAACCAGGGCTACGGAGCAGACGGTGTCCCCGGGACTGTCCACGTCTCCCTGGGCCTCCTCCCTCCCTCCACAGGGTTCAAAACCAGGCCAAGGCCCCGCGTGCCCGGACTGCCCATCTCTGAACGGGGTCAGGAAGGACTCCTGGCTTGTATCCATGCGTTCCCCCGCCCCCTCACCACCCCCAGCCCCCCGCAACCTGTTTAAGCCTCTGCAGTTTCTACTTCACAATCCCTGGCGCTATCTCCGCAGGCTCCTGAAAGGCTGAGGGTCACACGGGCAAGTGGAGACCTGAGCCTGCGCCTGACAGCCTGACTGCCCCACGCCTGCTGCCCCTCTCCCCCACCCCTGTCCCCCACCTCCCCTCGGTCCCCTGTAGCCGAGGAGCTGCAGTGCTTCCTCAACCAGCAAGCCCAGTGCCTGTCGCTATCGCGCTGGGCTCCTCCCTGTCCTGTCGGGGCACCTGGGAGGCCCTTTCGATGTGCACAGTAACTTGTGTTTTTCTTCCACATCTCCATTTTTTTCTTCCTTATGGAGAGTCTCTCTCCTCCCGGTCACTCTCTCTGCTGCCCCAGCTGGGATGCCGTCTGCCTGGGCCCCGCCCGCCGTGCCTCAGTGTTCCTGCCCCCTCCGCTCCGCTCCAGGCCCATGAGCCATCCCCCCCGCCTCACCCTCGGGTGAACTCCCAACCCCTCGCCGGGCTGCCTCGTGGACGCCTTCTTCTCACCCACCGGGGATGCACCGCCTTGGTCCACGGCCGCCTCCCCTCCTGGCAGCTCTGTCCTCTCCAGGGGTGGTTCTCCAGTCTGCTCCCAGATTCTTCCGACATTTCGGCCGTGTGCTCCTTGTTGCATTTGGGGACAAAAGCCCTGTTTCGAGTTGCTTCCTCTGGGGCCGGGGACAGGGAGCGTGTACACCGGTGGGCGGGTGGGTGAGTAACGTGTCCTGTGTTTGGGCCCCGGGGCCCCGCGGGTGAGACTGTGTGAGGTTTGGCTTTGCCCGTTACCGCTCTAACCCGGGGTCAAACACCGCTGAGCACTAGTGGGTCCCAGGCTGCGAGAAGAGCGGCCCAGCCTCCGCGGGCCCGTTCACAGCCGTCGGTCAGGGGCTGTCCTGCCCCTCTCCTGGACGGTACAGGACCCCTCTCCCCAGCGGGGCTTTGCTCTGTTTTGTTTTTGCGTAGATCTGCTTTCATTTGCTTCCTCTTCCTCAGGAATCTTTCATAACCTTCTTCTGACACTTCATGGAATTTTTAAAAATATGTTTTTATTGATTTGAGAGAGAGAGAGGAAGGGAGAGGGAGAAAGAGATAGAAACGGCCATGAGAGAGGAACATCATTGATCGCTGCCTCCTGCACGCCCCACACTGGGGATGGAGCCCGCCGCCCGGGCATGTGCCCTGACCGGGAATTGCACTAGCAACCTCTATGGCTCCCGGGTCGACGCTCAACCACTGAGCCACCCGGTGGGGCCCCGTGGGGGTGGGGGAGGCAGATGTACGTCCCATCCTCTTGACCCATCTCCCTTTCTCATGTTAAGTCCTTTTTAGCTCACAATGCATCACCTCCAGTCCCCATATTGTTTCCTCTTCCAGGAAAGACAAGGAGGTCAGAAGATGGAACCACGTCTCCCCGAGACCTGCCCATCCAGGGGTCGGTCCGACAGCAGCGTTCGTTCCAAAACAAGGAGGGAAAGGAGAGTCCACCGTGGCCCCTGGGACTGGAAACGCGGCCCGTCTCCACGAAGAGCCTGCGGTCCTCACGCTCCGCTGCGATGCCGGGACAGCTCTTTGGGGCGGGAGGGGCGGTGCGTCCTCCAGAAGTTAAACCAGCCATTTCTGGGCCGGGTGAATTTCTCATAAAAACGCTGACATTTTTCCTGATGATTCTGGCCCATTCCTTCCAGGAAAATCTTATCTGTAATCATTATGATAAAAATGAATATTCGAGCAAACGGCTAATAAATTCTTACTATGTGACAGGAGAAATGGAGGGCCATAACCCAGATAACAGCTCCAGCCCGGCTTTCGACGCAGGGCCTTTAATCCTCATAGGGCCGTTAATTTTTATAGATAAAGCGGAGTGAGTGAGAAGCGCCATTTAAAACGCAACGCGGGGCCACTCCTGGGTCCCCTTAGCAC